GTAAGTGCTTGCTGTTCTGAAATTCATTCATTCGATTTAAAATTGAGGTGGTAGAACAAGGTTTATCACTTATGATTACAATATCATCATCTACATTCCTTCCATAAAGTGGCACATTTTCGATTAAATCCTCCGATAAACTCTCAATGTACAATATATATAGATAACTGCTAAAAGGGGCCCTAACGGACTTCCTATAGATTTACGATTGTTACTCAGTGCCAAAGTCTATAAATAAACGTTAATATAATGTAAAACAATAATTCTGATTGCATTTCGCCAATCTTCTGCTAACCTGTATATGACTAAGCAATGATAGCCCACTTGTCTCCCGTTAATATGGAGAACAGAGTATGAATAAACAAACGATTCAGTGTTCACCAGCACTGACCCACACCTTATTTGAGTAACATTCAATCATTAGGACTAACAGACAACAGTTCAAAAGCATACGTGTGAGTGATAATATATGCATAAAAAAGGGATTTTTCTGATAAATCAGGAAAATTAATAGAAAATAGAAATAGAGGAGTTCTCCAACCAATCGAACAAAATCCCTACAAAAACCAAAACTTGAAAACTTATCTGATGCTCAACAGCGACTGGCCCTATTCAGGCAGTTAACCTGGGGACCTAGTGGGAAGGCGTGACCAGTAGAGTACAGTAGGTTGAAGGTGAGCGCAGTTACTCATCGAAGAAGATATTGCGAAGTGGTCGCGCTATGTGATGAATTGGGCAGAAGTTAGAATTCATGACCTGGCCATTGGATCTGTGAGTCCCAGTAGCTTAATGGTCTACGAGCTCGCTGGCCTTGCTTGTTACGAGCCTTGTAACCAGAAGGTCCTGAGTGTGTACTGATAAACAGTCTCAAACTGAGAAGAAACAGCTGTCCAGTACGCTCTGTAGGGTTTCAATGGTTCTCTAACCGACGTCAGCTCGTGATGAAATCCTCCAACCAGTCGAACAAAATTCCTACAAAAACCAACAACTTGATAATAGAGAATATATAATAATTTATAGATTGAGTAGCATTTTAGGGTGGTAAATAGTGGCTGGATCTGTTTCTGACGAAGTTAAAGTATCGTAGCCAAAGCCAAGGTCTTTCAAAACAACTGACCTTCAAGCACTAATCAGATATAGGGGATGCTATGAAGGGTTGTTCCAAATTAAATCATGACTGCCTTTCTGGACTTGGAGAAGGCAAATACAGTAATCTCACTTATTCTCAAGGTACTTTTTCTGTAAACCTATTCTGTTAGGTAGAGTTATGACTTTATAGATTATGGTCTAGTGTTAAGGTTAGAATTAGGAAAAGGTTGAAGAATAGTGTCAGGAATATCAGTAGATCGGAAAGTACTATGACCTACAGTCACCTAGATGAATGGGTACATCGCGCATGGTAAGATTTCTCTATAGATCATCTGTGTAGTGACTGGGAGACATTCTTACAACACATAAGCGACAATTATCTAGTGTAATATCATGTTTGCAATGTTTTTTTTATTGTATTTTTCGACGATTATGCAACTTTTTTGCATCTGGATTCTGATTAGTCGTTCAAGGTCACCGTAGTTTTAACTATGATAGTGTTCAACTTCGCCCTGTTTCTTTTGCACGCAGAACTATGGTTGTTTTAAGCGAATTTTAGTTGCCTCACCTGTTTAAAGTGTTCGGTATTTAGAGGCTTCTGGCAGATGACAGAGAACGTCTCAGGGACTTGAGTTTTATGGGTATTTAACCTTCTTTGAATCGATTTTCTCAACTTGTTAGTTGTTATTTCACTGTGTACATCCCCTTTGAATTGCAGTCGCAAGCATTTATAGAGGCTTCTTGTTAACAGATACGGAAGAATTCCTTTCCACTCTCTTGACCATTTGTTTCATGATGAACTCTTCTCAGAGTAGTTATTTTCAGTTAACGTGTCATATACAGCCTAAAGTTCTTCCCTACAGTAGCATCTTCTAAATAAATGGCTCGGATCATCTAGCTGGAGTAGTACAAAGCATTATCCACTAGGCCATGAAAGCCACGACAGTTTCAGGGTTCAAAACGATGGATGCGTGGCTAAACACTATCAGTGGAAACACCATCACTCACTGTGAATTAAGATTCATAAACATTGCTGAGGAGTCCCAAATAAGACGAAATCCGCCTCCTGGGTTCCATTGCTATTCTGCTCCCCACTAACCAGAATAGCTTTTAAGATTATGTATACAAACAATCAAAGATACTTAGTAAAATCCACTATGTTGACAGCCATCCACTATAATTAAGCTCCCCACACATTCACAAATACGCTGTGAGCACCAAAACTGTTTGTTATTAGGTGGTTGGAGGCAATCGATTACAGGAAGCCTTGTTTCACTTAACTTTCGCGCTAGTTGACACTCACCAGTCATCAGCAAAGCGTATCGGCAACGGTCAAGGAATAACTCATATCCATTCTGAGATTCGAACCCATGTGTCTAATCCTTTCTTTGGTGCAGACTGAATTCTATCAGTCAGGTTTGTAATGTGGCCATCACACCGGTTACTAGTGTCCAATCAAAGTATCCAATATAGTCCTACAGGAGGCCAATTGTGAGCCCGAATAGCTCAGTTGTAACGTCCCTGACTGCAGCACTTAGTGGTGACGCGGGTTCGAATCTCAGAACGTTGCAGATACACCTTGCTGACTGACTGGTGAGTGCCAACTATCGCGAAACCTAGATCCAACCATCTAATATCATCAAATCAATATGCACCATGGTGGCAAGCTACCTAGAATGGTGGCCACATTGCAAACCTGACTGATGATAGAATTCAGTCTGCACCAAAGATAGGACTAGACAAATCACACTAGTTACTGACTAGTGTCCAATCAAAGTAAAACTGTTTGTTGTTAAAATCACAATATTAATCGATGATATTCTTTTCAGAGAATTTATTATCAAGCTGTATAATATATATATGGATAGGCCGAGTTGGGCAGTTCATTGTCGATGTATGAAAAATACGAGTTTTTAAACAAAACGGTTATTTTTCAAGAGTTGGTCTGTAGGGATTTGATTTGTTTACAAGTTCGACCAGGGATTGATGTCAGTTAGAGAATCATTGGAAACCAGCATGGAGTACTGGACAGATGTTTTTTCAGCCTAGTTTGGGACTACTCATCACCAGTATGCACTCCTACTGGGGTCCGAACCCAGGACCTTCCGGTTACAAGTAAGCAAGCTTGTAGACCATTCAACCACTGAGATTTGATCTAATTGTCTGATTATATTTAGCGCGACCACCAGCAAGTGTCATCGCTGCTAGTATTTGTCCTCACTCCCGACCACCATTTGGTTCACCCCAGAGTGATCACAACTTCTCAATAGAAAACGTCGTCCTACAGTCAGTCAGTCAGTCATTAGCTCGCGTCTCAGAATAATTTTCAAGAGTTGGTTTCTCCAGTACTCTTTGCTGGTTTCCAATGATTCTCTAACTGATATCAATCCGTGATCTTTATTCAAAATCAAAACGGTTATCTTTACAATAAAACTTTCATTGCATAAATGTTATTTTAGAAAGATATTAGACGGTTGGAGGTAATCGGCCCCATGGAGCCTTGATTCACTTAGGTTTCACGCTAGTTGACACTAACCAGTCATCAGCAAGGCGTATCTGCAATCACCTTGGAGGAACTCATGTCCCTTCTCCTCCTCCTGAAACTCAAACCCGCATCACCACTAAGTGCTTCAGTCAGAGACGTTACCACTGAGGAGCTGTTCGGGCTCGCTTGATTGACCTCTTATAGGACTGATTATATTGGATACTTTGATTGGACACTAGTGTGGTGAGAGCTGTCTGCTAGCCAAAATCGGTAGACTGTAATTTACGTCAATGTTTACATCCCCAATATTGGTCATGTGAAAAACAAGAACAAAGACTGACTGACTCAACAACCAATCACAGCAGACGTTTTTGCATAGGCGGATACAATTAGCAGATAGATGACCTGACCTTCAAGAAACAGCCACAAAGAGATGAAAGATTAATTTTCAGAGAGAAACAACCAATCAGAAAGCTGTGTTTGTCTGCTAACAATAATCTATAATAATGTACATGAAAATCTATAAATTGTTGTTGATTTCCTTAATAAGCAATGTTGCCTGACTCTTGCCTTCTGTCGTTACACTAGTAACTAGTGTAATTTGTCTGTCTAGTCCTTTCTTTGGTGCAGACTGAATTCTATCATCAGTCAGGTTTGCAATGTGGCCACCATTCTAGCTAGCGTGCCATCACACTAGTTACTAGTGTCCAATCAAAGTATTCACTACAGTCGGTCTTACAGAAGGTCAATCAGGCGAGCCCGAATAGCTCCTCAGTGGTAACGTCTCTGACTGCACCACTGGGTGATACGAGCTCGAACCTTAGAAGGGACGTGAGTTAGTTCAAGGTTGCAGATATGCCTTGCTGACTGACTGGTGAGTGCCAACTAGCACGAAACCTGGGTATGGCAGGCCTGCTTGTGGCTGATTGCCTCCAACCATCTAATATCATCAAATCAATGTGCACCGTGATGGCGAGCCATCTAGTGGCATGGTGGCCACATTACAAACTTGACTGATGACAGAATTCAGTCTACACTAAAGTAAGGACTAGATACAACACACTAGTTACCAACTAGTGTCCAATCAAAGTATTTTAGAAAGAGGCTGTGTAACGAAGCAGTTCAACGTCGATCAAATAAAGCTAACCAGACAAGAAAAGGAAGATAGATGCGCGCGTGCAGACACACACTCACACACACACGATAAGCAGAAGACCAGGCAAAGAGAATTATATTTAATTGGTGGATACGCATTTCGTCCTATATGGGAGTCGTCCGCCAGCTGGATGTACATGCATTTCCCAGTGAGCGATGATGTTCCCACCGCCGAGGCTCGAACCCAGTGCCCATAGTTTCAAACGCCAGCCAAAGCGTTATCCACTAGACCACTTGGGCCACAAAAGCTACCCCGGCTCTTGTGCGACGGGTCATATTGATTTAATTGAATTTTTACTTTTCAATTAAAAGATAATTATAATTTGGGAGGAACTTTCTCACAATAACAAACAAAAAACGAGTAATCAGGATAAACACTTCAAATGTAAACTGTACACACACGCACACACATAAACATACAGATAGAGGGAAATAAATCTAGCTGATTACATCATCATTATGAAGAGGAGGGAGAGCGTGAAAAAGACAACAACAAAAAAGTAAAAGAAAAGAGTAAAAGCCTGGAAAAGCATGGAATGATGATAATGCTGTTGCTGATGAGGATGCAGATTTATGGTTTATAAACAAATTGTCCAGTTTTCAAACGTCTTTTTAATTCACACCAGAGAATTTCACGTTCTCTCAGCGTATTCTGTAGAACTGAACCATTCTCTAGAGCACGTCTTGATAGATAGGGGAGAACTTCTTCAATTGGACCATATGGAACATATTTGTAGACGGAGTAACCAGCTTGACCTTGAAGAAGAAGAAAAGAAATAAGTAATAAGTTATTTTTTTTTCTCAAAAGAATGGTTACTGAAGAACAAAGAATATTCACATTTTCGATAACCTGCTCTTCATCAGGTTCTACAGTTATACATGAACAAATAATAGTGAGTGAATGAATTAGTGTTGTAACGACAGAAGAGAAGGGCCAGGTAACAGATCGTTTATTGAGGAAATCAACAGATATTTATAGATTTTCATGTACATTATTATCAGCGTTATTGTTAGCAGAGAAGCAACGTCTTCTGATTGGTTGTTTTCCTGCTCAAGGTTATTCTGTACTGCTTGTGACCGTTTCTTAGAAAGTTAAGCTATATATATATATATATCTGCGAATCGTATTTGCACACGTTAAGTCTGCTGTGATTGGATGTTGAGTTCCTCACAAGGTTAAGCTTTGTTCTCTCTTTTTTTCTCATGACCCCGATTCGGGATGTAAACATTAACGTAAATTGTTGTTTACAACTTTGGCTTGCAGACAGCTCTTAGCACAGTGTTATTAACAACTTAGATGTGAATAGTTCTTTTCAACTTTCTTAGTCATATGCTTCCTGATGAATTTGTCTGGATAGCTATTTTCAATCATGGTATCATACACAATTCTTAGTTCATCTGCAATCACCTCGTCTGAGCATGTAGCTCTAATCGTGTGTCTGAGGGTCCTTATTAAACTGAAGATGGCAATCCAGACAAATTCATCAGGTAACATTTGACTAGGACTATTCACTATCCGTGAACAAGAAGCCTTTATACATACGACTGCAATTCAAGGGCGATATACCTAGCGAAATAATTACGAAGAAGTTAAGGAAATCAGTTCAAAGAACTTTTAATGCTGGCAAACTACAAGTCTTATTTTTTACACGATAGGTTGTGACTAACCACTTCTAACTGTATCTACCAATTCAACTGCGCTTGTGGTGGAGCGAGTTATATTGGTCATTGCTCTAGGAACTTGATTTTCCGTGCTCCTTCGGGAACATCAACCAGGTGTAGTAAAAACTACCATCAACAGTTCGATAATAGACCATCTGGTCCAAAACAACCACAGAGCCAGAGAGCATTGAAGAATCCTTCTCTATCATCTACCGGGTACCTAATAAATTGCCGAAAACATCCAGGTCACGCATTCTCCGAACAACAAAGGCTATCATAATTCGCCTAAAAGAGCTGATGTTCTGTGTGCAGAAGAAACAAGTTCAGCCAGCCACTAATACTGCCCTGACCGGCTTTCAGTGAAGACTATAAATTCATGAATCTGTAATATTATCTTTCCTAATTTTATTGACATTCAGTTTATTGTTATGTTGGTGATATTGAACTGTAATCCGTTGATATTATTGATTCGATGTTATTTAAACAGCAACATTAATGTTGTTAATAACACTAATTCTTTTATTCACTATAATGTATATATAACTGTAGAACCTGATGAAGAGCAGGTTATCGAAAATGTTAATATTCTTTGTTCAGTAACCACTCCTTTATTAGGGTATCATTAAAGCTGAAAAAAGAGTACACTTAAATGGAAACTATTACGTAACAAACTCGTTGAAGCGGCCTGATTGAATCATCGGCTCGGCTACAAGTGCAAACCACAATAAATCATATTTTCTCTCATTCTTATTGTCTTAACCATTCTACTGTAAAGAAGAAAAGACCGATGAGTCTCGAAGTTCCATGTTTATTAGGACAAACGCATTGTAGGTACATGAATTTGGTATACCTTATATCTTCAATGCTTTATTTGCACATCATTTGCAAATTGGTCGAATATCACCGCATGCGATAGCTTGTTGGATTCTGCACAGTGTTTGTAACTTTCTTCTCTTTTCCAATTGTTTTTTTTTCTGGTGTCCAAAACATATATTGTTACTATTTTGAATTCGTTTACTGATATACTACTTATATCTGATTATAAGTAGCACTCACCACACCACTATGTTTTTGAGTCACATAATGTACTCATGTACATTTTCAAGTTGCCTTTCAAACCTTCCTGTAAGTATTTCACGGAGAGATGAAGAAAAAAATATCAGAAGGGATTGATCAATTTAGTCTGTGCATCAGACCTATAATACAGCATTGCGTCACATGATATATTATAGACTTTGAATGAAGCAAGAACAACAGTGTGGCTTGTGCAGAATTATATGGTACCCTCATTTACTTCGTCGGCTTCTCGTCAGCTGCTGCTTACAGCCCAAATAAATTATGAGGTTTGCGTACAGAAAACTTTTAACATACTTGCAAATTTTACATGTTGTCAGTTGACAAAAAGTTGAGTTGAACTCAGTACATTGTTACCTAATTTATTAGTCACTCTGTATCTAACGCATATTTCGTCTTTATTACGTAACTCTTCTACCATTGTATGCATACATTTATTTTGTTTAAACTTGAACTGCCTGTGTAAAAACTATATAGGCACAATTTTCTGAGCACCGTTCACTTATTGTGGAACTTTTTGTCAACTGACAACATGTACAATTTACAAGTATGTAAAAACTTTTCTGTACATAAACCTGATAATTTATTTAGACTGTAAGCAGCTGAGCTGATGAGAAGCCAACTAAATAAATGATGGTACTATATTATTCTGCACAAACCACTGTTGTTCTTGCTTTATTTAAATTCATCAAGGGGAATAAATGCATGAAGATACTATAGACTGTTATACTTGAAGGTAGTGAATGAAAAGGAAATAATACGCTGAGAATTATATGTACATTGTAGAAGGATTCTCTTAGGAATAAAGCTATTTATCTACTCAGTTATTATTGCTAAAGATCAACTTTAATTTGTTCCCAATGGAACACAGGCCTAGAGCTTTGAAGTTCCTTCCGGTAACAGTGGTGTTTGTTTCTACTAGATGTGGTTGCTAGCATCATGCCGAACCTTCCCTTTTTACCGATCTTATTACCGGCTTAGCGAGGTTTAAGATAGTGCGTCGTCCAGGGATCGAGCCCGGGAACACATGCTTGGTTGGCGAGTTTTTTTACCGCTAAGCTTCCGACGCCCTTAATTTGTATAGAGTAGGGTTAATGGGTGAGTGATTTGATGAAGAGCTGTAGTGAACTACGATGAGACAGATGCCCAGTATTACCTACTAGTTTTCAATGGTTCTCTCAATATAGTCAGTTTTTGATCTGACTAACTAGCTGACTGTTATGACCGAAACTATGAACACTAACTAATGCGCTGGCAAATCTTTCCTAATCGCACGTCAACAACAACAATACCGCCGGACCGCAAAGACGGAAGACAAGACTGGACTCCGGTAAGAGGGCTTTTACTGTGTCAAAACAACAGTCAAAAATGCTGACAGAGCTTGTTTATATATATTTATATGTTTAAAATGACCTTGAGAAGCACTAATGTCATTGGTTAATGATGACAGTGAACAACCAATAGGATTCCAAAGGTCATAAGTAGGGTGAGAGAATATTAGGTCATAAATCAATAAGTGGGGCGAGAGAAGTGCAAACAGACATGTAAAAATTACATGTAGGAAATTAGGTCTCTATATATCACTGGCTAAGTGAGTTTCAACATAGAACTTTTCCACATAAGTGCAGCAGTTCAACGTACCACAGTTTATGTACCACACCAAGATAGACAAAAGAGATTTGAAAGAACTATAACGAGTAGAAATCCACGGGAGAAAGAATAGTTTCATGGAAAAAAATGATAATTTTATTGAATCTGAGAAGATCGCACAAACATTGAATGCATGTATTCCTATGACAACGATTTTGAGTCATATCATCACCGATCGTCTAACTCAAGCCATTAGTTCTTGGAAATCTGAGGAACCGAACCAGTTGGGCAGTCTACACACCTCCCTAAGTGGATGGATGGCTGGCTGGCTCAGACCACCGCAAAGTGAATGATTTCATGGGCTGATAGCAGGTTTTTGTGGTCGAAAATAGGCACCAAACAATTGTCTGCGAACTAATAGTTGAAAAGTACTAAAAAACAGGTATTTGATTTAGGCGGTTCTGATTTAATAATCACAATAATCTGCTTTATTCCAAAAACAACAGTACTTATAATACAGCATTGAAGTTTCACCATTTGTCGCTATATTGCATCTGATTTACTGAAAATATAAATGAAAGTAACTACAGGCACTTTCCCACATTTACAGTAGGAATAAATTCAAAAATGTGCAAAGTATAAAATGAGAATAATAACTCTAATTATAATAAGAACAGTAGGTTTGTTTCAAACATTATTGTTGATATGGTATGGAAATCTTGGCATACTGTAGAATATTGAATCTAATGTTCTCTTGGCATAGCATAGTGAACGGAGCAACAAAAAATAAACAACTAATCCTTACAAAAAACCAACTTTAGAAAATTAATCTGATGCTCGCTAGTGACTTGTTACAGGGGACGGAGTTTCCTTGAGTTCTCTAGTGAGAAGTCGTGACCAGTGAGGTCCATCCAGTCAAGTGTTCGAGGATGGATGTCCTACCGACAACATCGGTTGGGGTTGAGCTAAATCACGAATTGGTAAGAGTTAGAATTCATGGGTTGGCCATTGGATCGGGTCCTAGTGGCTGAATGGTATACGAAATTGTTTGCTTGTAACCAGAAGGTCCTGGGTTCGAACCAAAGTGTGGTGGGTGCGTACTGCCGATGATTCCCAAACTAGACTGATGAAACATCTGCCCAGTACTCCCTGCCTGGTTTTCAATGGTACTCTAACATCATTCCGTGATCAACTCGTAAAAACAAAACTAATCCTTACAAACCAACTATAGAAAATTATTACAGAGAGCTTAAATGATGTTTACACTAATGAGAAAATAAACAAAAACAAAAAATGAGAGGATTACAAATACGAGAAGAATAATAACAATAAAGCTCGGTGGAATAAGGATGGAGAAAATCGTTTATTTATTAATGGAAAGAAGGTGAGTTAGTTAGTTAGTCCATGCCTAACACTACTTTCATCACATA